TTTTTTTGGTTCTCCTATTTAACCCCCTACCCCCCCTCCACCCCAAACCACCTCAAATGGCCCAAAATACCTAATCCAACCCAAAACTTAAAAAAATTTCAAAAAAAAAAAAAATTAAAATCCGGCCCGGACCGGGCCCGAACCGGCCGGGCCGGTTCGCCTAAAGCAGGGCCCGAGCCCGGACCGCCCATCACCTGGGCCGGACCAAACTGAACCGCTGGACCCACCGGGCCCTGGGCCGGGCCGGGCCAAACAGTAGCCGGGCCGGTTCCGGGTCGGGCCGCCCGGCCCGAGTCCACCCCTACTCATGAACATTTGTTTTGGTTCGACATTTGATGGTTAGTAGCAATATAGGGCTAAAAGTCTAAAACTAGGCGGGTACACGGCCACACGGCCATTTTAAACCTGACAGAAATACATGGTTCTATAATTAGAATTTGAACCAATCAACAAAGAATTGGAATGGAACTGGACCTAGGGGTGGACCGGTTCCGGTTCGGGCCCGGTTCGGGCCTGGGCCCGGCCGGGCCTCGGTTCAGAAAAAGGAGGCCCGAGCCCGAACCGGTGGTGGGCGGTTCCGGTTCCGGGCCAGAACCGGGCCGGGCCACCCGGAATGTTTTTTTTTTTTCTTCTTCTCTTATTTAACCCCCTACCCCTCCCCCTCCACCCCAAACCACCCCAAACTACCTCAAATGGCCCAAAATACCTAATCCAACCCAAAACTTAAAAAAAATTCAAAAAAAAAAAAAATTTAAATTCCGGCCCGAACCGGGCCCGGCCGGGCCGGGCCGGTTCACTAAACTGGAGGCCCGGGCCCGGACCGGTATACCACCGGGCCGGGAGGCCCGAACCGGAACCGAACCGGTTCACCGGGCCGGTCCGGGCCCGCACAGTAGCGGGCCGGTCCGGTTCCGGGCCGGTTGGCCCGGCCCGAGTCCATCCCTAACTGGACCATATTTTGTTGAGCTCAGGTTCTTTCAAATGGAACTGACGGTCATGAAAGTGTCATTGGCTCAAAAGTTTAGTTACCTACGGTCGGAAATGGAATCTAAACTGCCGGATGAATTAAACTGGGACCAGGGATCTGATAAAGATTCGCAATTACAAAATTTCCAGCATTTATGATTGAAAAAATAGAACATAATTTGAGAAAATATAGGTAGTTTATGTAGAGTGTAGACAGTAGACTCTGTAGGCTGTAGCTGCTAGCTAATAGTTTGCAATTGGGGGTGTCTTGCAGAGACCTAGTCAGCAAAGAACCGAGCCATCCAATATAAACCATATACTACTAGGCTAGTAGTGAATTGACTTGTGCATTATACTTGCACGAATGATTAATGAAATTGAATTTGTTAATAAAACAGTTCACTAAGTGAATAGAACGTTCATATATCTTCTCAGTCCTGCAATTGAGTTCCTAATTTGACATAATTAGTGTTAGGCAAAATAACTTTGTAAATTCACATTCCAAGTATGCCCTCTTAAAAAGTATGATAGAGAAAATCAATAGTCAATGATGTAATTTTTATAGAGGTAAAAAGAATATTTCATCTCTCAAGTATTACTAAAAAGAGAAGTAGGAACTTGATTACGGGGCATTCGCAAAATGAAAGTGAAAACTCAATTGTAGTTTTTTGTGGGAAAATTCTTGAAATAGGAGTAAAAATGTTTAAAATTTTCCAAAATAGGGCTGTCATGTTTTTATTCCACGTGTCTCTTTACGCATTCTCCAAAAAAACTGTTTTCTTCTACCCAATTTTTTCCGATTTTTTTTCCATTCACAGTTTCAAACAAATGCTCCTACCTAGTTAGTGAATGCTATAACGAGAATGAAGAGTGAAGCATAAAGACGAGAAGAAGGTCGACGTTCTTCACTTTGAGCGACATGTACCGAGAACAAAGAGTAAAAGAACAGAGAAGCAAAAGAAACATGGTTAAGCGAAAGAAGAGATCACACGAGAAAAGTGGAGAAAACAGCTCAAAGTATAATGAAGTTTCAGACAATGATTTCGAGTCAAAGGAGAAGAAAAACACAACCGACGAGAAACACAAAAAAAAAAAGAATGAAGACAAAAAAGAGGTTCTCCCATCTAGCAAGGTATTCTCTGCAATTACTTCGTTAGTTTTTTGTAATATTGAAATAATGACTACAATATAAACGTGAAATCCAATTTTATGTAGTTTAGAATGTTTTAGAAGTAATTACTAACTTCAAATTACTATAAGAAGTGCCGAGTTGATTATGGTTTTATACTCTCTGTTGATTGAACTTAATTAATCACACAAAATGCACAGTTATCTAGTGCACATAGCACACTATAAAACATATGAACAGTGTTTGTAGAAAAAGGGATAAGAAAAACGGAATACTACATTGACTAGTTTAGTTTAACACATTTATAAATCGGAAATTATTCAAGAGGGCCGCGTGACAATAAAAAGGAGTTAAAGGTTAACCGCTTCTCAAATGTGCACAATGACATTGAAGGAATAAATGCATTGCTAAATGGGGAACAACTCCATGAATTTAGGAACACAACATTTGGGAGAATGTTAGACATTGCAAATGTGTGGTGGATGACTAGACAACTACTGATTTTAATAGCAGAAAATCGTGTCAAAAATTTGAACACAAAAGTGTACAAAGATCGCTTCATTTTCAACACCAGTGATAGACTTGTCTACTTCTATAAGAAAGAACTGACATTAATAACAAGATTTAAGATGAGAGGTGAGAAACCTGTGATATCCACACAAACTAAAAAAGACATTTGGAAAAGATTTTTCAATTCAAGAAATAATGTCTCAAGGGCGCACATAAAGAGAGAATTTGAAGCTCAGAAGACAAATGCTTTAAATTTCAATTTCAAGCTCAGAATGAAAATTGAAACTTGAAGTTGAAAATTTTCAACATTGTTAAGATATATTAATCCTTGTATTTTTTTTTTCAAACTTGAAGTTGCAATATAATACAAGGATTAAGATATCTTACCTTGTATGAAATTGGTTCATACATGTAAACATCAAACTGTAAAAAAATTATTAATAAATTGACTAACAATAGTATATGGATAATCGCACTTTTAGTCCCTCAAATAGTCACCATATTGAAATGTCAGACCCGTGTTCCCAAGTTTATAAATGTCACCCCTCAATTGTCCAAATTGTTGTAAATGTGGTCCTTTTAAAAGTAAAATGTACAATGTGGACGAGGAGTATATTTTACCTCTCAAAGGATCACATTTAAAGCAATTTGGACAATTGGGGGAGTGACATTTACAATCTCAGAAATACGGGTCTGACATTTCAATACTGTGACTATTTCAGAGACTAAAAGTGTGATTTTCCCTAATAGTATAATACTTATCAAAAAGTGCAAAGAATTTAACCAGCGTATGAAGGTCGATGAACGACTATATGATGTTTAGGAACAATTCATGGACCATAAGAGAACGGTCGAACTTGGAGAAGTGAGCACGCGTGATTAAAAATCAGAAGAAGTTGAGCTTGGTGATTACAAAGACGAAGAACGAAAGAAGGAGGAACGGTCGTTGCGGAAGTTGAGATCAATTTTGTTGTGGCGTAAGTTATTTGTATTTAATACGCAACTTAAAGTGAGGGTAACACGGAAACTAAAAGTAAAGTTTCCTAAAACAGAACCAAATGAAGCTTACGGTTGAAAAAACCCTAACTAAGTCCTAATTTTGTAAAGTCTGTATGATTTGGTCTTACGAATTACAATTTTCTCCTAAACATGACATTAAATCCTCTTATTTATGAAATAAAATATGATAGTTCTATTTTGAAACACACAAAAGTTTTTACTCCCCTTGAGGGCGATTTCCCTTTTTTGTTGACGTGCTATCTAACGAGTATAGTATATGATCAATGTTAAATACCAACATTCTTGATTGAGATATCACAGTGATGATATCGAACTACAAAGTACTTGACGAAAACTGGTACGAGGGAATATTTTATATATATAACAAATTAATATATGATACAAGATTGTGTTATAAGAAAGCAGTAATGATAAATTTATACTACAAGCTTTTTCACTACATAAAATAGGATCAAATTTTAATTTAGACAAAGAAGATTACATATGAATAGATAGAAAAAACTCACATATAAATACAACACTAAACCCTAATATCCTTACTCTAAAATGATAAGATTAATAATGAGCACAATCCAATATTATGATACTAAAATGGTACACCTCTCCTCAATTATTTTGATACTAAAATGGTACACCTCTTCTTAATTATTCTAGAGGTGATATACCGTAGAACTATAGAAGTTGCTTATTTGAAATTTAATAATAGAGTCCTGCTATTTGTACTCAGTACTCACCCTTATATCTACTCTTATATTACATTGAACTTTCAATGTGTATTTTTTTCAATTTGTGAATTCCGTTTACAAACAAAATGTCTTAATTTGCACAGTCATAATAAGACATGTTTTGTATGTGAAGAGGATTCACAAACAAAAAAAGTTTCTCACATTAGTGATGGGTATAAGAATGAGTATATAAGATTAAGAGCTCATTTGGTAGCAACAAAATCGGCTGATTTTGCTGAAATGTATGAAGTTGGAGGGAGTAATAAAATAAAGAAAAAATTATAGGTAACAATATCTAAAATGGTCATCAGTGATAACTTCAGCCAATACAGTAAAAAAGTAACTCTAATCTAACTTTTTATGCTAATTACATCATTCAACATGCGAAAGCAAGTGAGAAAAGTTGATAATAAATACTTCATCCGTCCCTTAAAACTTTGTCATATTTCCTTTTTAGGACGTCCTAAAAAACTTTGTCACTTTACCTTTTAATTAATTATTTTGTAGGGTTATGTTATTTCTCTTTCCTCTGCATAAACATCAACCACAAAGTTTTTATTTTATTATTACTCATGTCTATCAACTTTGTCAAAGTTTGAAGGGAGATACACTGATAGCACGTATAATCATTTTTCGGACGCAAATTTTTAAGAGCCATCATTGATGGTCCCTTTGCCTATTCAGTTTCAAAATCCCAAAGCCCAGTCGCCCAGTCGGCAAACCAACGGTGGTTTGGGAGCTAACCTCGGCCGTCGCATACTCCGTTCCGGCAAAAAATGGCGGACTTGATAATGGAGGAAAGAGAAGAGCTGATGGTGTCACACGCAGGTGGAAAACCAGCCCTCAGGACTGCCCATTTTCTCAAACCTTCGACCAACAGCCGGGTCTTCTCCCTTCCGCAGCAAACCGCAGCGGCCGGCGTCAGGGAACCTCCCCCCAAGTTTAGGTTCCACGGGTGGAGCAACAAGCCACTCAAGGATTGGGAGAAATGGGTCGAGTCCATGTGCGCCCTGCACCAACCCGTTTGGAAGAAGGCCGGGATCCATGAAGCGATTATGAATTCCACATCCAGAATTCACCGGAGCGATGAGCTTATCGTCGCTCTCGCCAGAAATTGGAACCCAGAAACGAACACATTCTGTTTTCCATGGGGAGAAGCCACTCTCACGCTGGAGGATATGATCGTCCTTGGGGGTTTCTCTGTGTTGGGCGGGTGTGTGGACCCAGATTTCAGCCCTGTGAAAGACAGAAAATTGGAAGACACGAAGCAGAAGCTACTCAAAGCCCGAATCGAGTTAAACAAATCTGCAGCAAAGAAAGTCACTCAAACTAACTGGATCTGTAAGTTCATGAACAACAGTGAGTATTGTGAAATAGAGCACGAAGCCTTTCTTGTGCTATGGTTGGAGAGGTATGTTTTCCCCTACTCCCCACGTGACACCATAGGCACAAAGCTTCTGGACATGGCCATACGTTTAGGCAGAGGAGAGAGAATGGCTCTTGCACCCGCAGTCTTGGCCATCATTTACAAGAACTTGACTTTCATGAAAAATGCTTTGCTTGCTCTTGACAGGACAAAAAAATCTGCAATTTCAGCCCCATTTTGGCTGGTGCAAGTTTGGGTTTGGGAGAGATTCCCCGCTTTAAACCCAAACCATGGCATTAGTGCTGGACATGAGAGGTCGAGGTTTGCCAGATGGGATGATGTGAAAATGAGTGTGAAAAAGAATTTGGAGTTCGTTAGAGAAGATTTTATCTGGCGGCCCTACATGTTTTGGGCCAGAAACTCACTTCTTTATAAGGAAGATGAAGAAGAAGAAAGGTGGATATTGGTGGGCAGTGGTGATGAAGAGGTTCATGAGTTTGTTAGATGTTTGAGAGTAAGTGAGCTGGTTGGGTTAGAGGGATGTATAGAGCAATACCTGCCACACCGCGTGGCAATGCAATTCGGAATGGATCAGGATGTTCCTGCATTCGTGGCGCGAGCCAACGAATCGCCTGGGGTTGCATGGGACTGCTACACAAGGCCTGTCTTGGACATGAAATTGTGGGTCCCATCGCGACGTTCATTCCAGAGCGGTGTTACCACTCATTACTTACGTTCATGGGGGCTTAAGGAATCGATGGGCACCAAAAAGGTTGGCAGCGGTGTGAAGCGGAAAAAGGAAGGGTGCCAGCGTTCGAGACCGGAATCTGATGAGAACGCTCCTCCTCCCACTTCTCTTGATGATGAAGACCATGATGATGAAATCTCGCTGGCTGAACTTCTCATGAAGAGGGAAAAGTTGAAAGAGAAGGCTAAACATCATACTCCTGGAAAAACTGGTGTTCATGGAGAGAAGCAGCCTGAAATACTGGGATTATGCACGCGGTATAGATGCAATGAGAGCAGTGGGAGAGAAAGAAGTGAAGAGCATGTGGAGATGCCAATGGTTGAAGAAAGGGGATTACTTGAAGCTAAGAGTGTATGTATCAGTTTCAAGAAAGACAAAGGCAGAGGAGGAGGATGTACTAGTACTCCTGCTGCTGCTGCTTCTGTTAGAATAGCCGGTGAAGGTGGTGTTCCGTCCCCGCAGAGTCCTCCTTGGAGAACACTGGAAGCCAAAATTATGAATCTTGAGAAGTTGGTTGCTTTGATGAAACGGAAAAACTGACCATGCTGTCCAAGTCTAGCTACGAAGTTGTTACTATATACTTTTGTCCTAGTCCAGTTGTAGCATAGTTTTGTTGTATTTATATATCATATTGCACCTCTAGCCCGTTTCAAAGAAGGCTTTAGTTTTGACTTATTAGTTTTGTCACCTTTGGTTTGATCAAACCAAACCGTGATGGGGTTTGTAACTGTAATAACTAACTTGGAGGAAGAGAAAGTTTATTAATTAGGAAATTTCTACCGTACCTTTCTTAATTTAAGAGGCACCGGTACCCAGCTTTTGTAAGCCAATCAAATTATATTATGTTGCCACATCACCATCCTATATTATGGCATGTCGCCGGCCGGCAAATTTAACCTTGAGCCCTGAAAGGTTGCAATTCAAACCAACGACGCAGCAGAAAGAAGAGCCTAGAGAGGGAGGAAAGGAGAAAGAGGCGGTTTTCCGGATGATTTCCGCCGCCGTGGAGTTGCCGGACCTGTAGGCGTTTGCCGAAAATTGTTGCTAGAAGCCTGGAGTGCCGCCTGTGCACCAGAAGAGGAAGCCCGTTTTTCACAGATACCACCGTTGACTGCTGGAGAAGGAGTTTTAGATGAGAATTTCCATTGTTGTCAAATAAAGTCTGCCTTTGCTTCAGGCCTTGAGAAGAGGAGCGTGCGGCTATGCTAAGTGCTAACTAGTCATTTTCTATCTTCTGCATCATGGGTTCATCGAGCAAATATGGATAGGACAAAGAAGCAGTCAATTATGGAGGAAGTATGACTTGCGTACGTGCTCCAGACTGCAGCTATGGAAGGCCGATGATGCACCGTCCAAAACCAGAGCCTTTTGCAAAAGTACTCAAATGCAACTATGGAATTATTAAAATTAATTTTTTTAATGCAGTTTAAAATTTACACGTGTCATGCTTTTATTTGTCATCTAAGCAAATGTACCGGTACACTTCTTATTCATGGAGGTACCGTAGAAGGACCCAATCAATATATATATATATATAAGAGGAATTTTTTGAGAGCATACAAAGCGCCACATAATCCTACCATGTCATTATATAAAAGATTTTATTAGCTAGATTCCTATTCAAATTGATATATAGACGTTCATCAATATATAATAAAAATGTAAAAGGTTTTATTACCTTCCTTTTACGTATAAGAGATTTCTCTTATATATACGTATTAGATCCCACTCATTAAATTTTAAAATAATCAATTTATTTTTATACCTTTTATTTCTATTAGATTCTATTCCTTATTTAATTAAGAATATTATCCGAAATAGGAGTAAAAAAGTTTGAAAATTCTAAAATGGACTGTCATGTTTTTATTTCAAAAATAAGACTAATTATTACCATATTTTGGCAGTACCAGACTTCAAACATGGCAATATTTTTCAAACTTGGTAGTAATTACTCCTATTTTGGGAATAAAAATATGACAGTCCTATTTTGGAATTTTGGAACTTCTTTAGTCCTATTTCGGGAACTTTCCCTATTTAATTTGGTAACTTTTCAAATTTTTTTACGTATTTGAGAAGTATTAAATTTAGTAATTGGAACCACAACAATTAACCAAATTTTAAGCATGGGCTCACGCAGTAACAATCATGTAATTTTTTTATACTTTTTATTTTTTACTACGTATTACTCCGTACATTCTATTGAAGAAATGAAGTATCCGTTTTTTGCCCACTTAATAGATAAATCAGCCAAATTGCAATTAATTTTGCCTTCAAATTTATTTGATAAAAAATCGTGTATCATTTCCTAAAATATAATATTTTATTTTTCTAAACTCAATGTTGAGATAAGTGATAAAAAAAATCTTTTTTTTTAAAGAGGTAACGATTAAAATTCTAAGCCCCAAAAGCAATTGTGTTAATACTTCGTATTTTTCTGCATCTTCATACAATTCCTTTTTAATTATTAACATAATGATGAAAACTATGACCACCATATTGTTGAAATTAAAAACGAAATTAATACTATTAGATATTCAAATATATATAGAATCTCTTAAAAATAATACTTATGATCAAGTAGCTTACCTTATTTAATAAGGATGAAAATTGATATCTCTCTCTCTATCTCCACACACACACGTGTATGTATGTATATATGTATATATATTTTCTTAAGTAAATATGTTTAGCCTATATAGCCAAAAAAGTAAATATGTTTGGTTGTTTCTTTATTTTTACAACAACAGTTTAAATATGCTTTCACTTATGAAGTATATTCCTAATCCAAATTTGAAATCTTTATAAGCTTACGAATTCCTAATTTTATTCAATAGAGTGTTTTTATTGAATTGATTCCAGTTCCACACTAAATCAGATCATATCAAACTTTAATAATTATAATAATAATAAGTCACATAAAACGTAAAACAGACATCTACCAGACCATATTAATTTTAAACCAAATCAAACCCAAACTTTTAATTCAATTAAAAACGTTCTTATTAATGAGTAAAATGTAAGATCTCACTATTAAAATTTAAAAATAGGTATTTCATACCAAGTTGAGTGAGAAATATTAGAACAATGTTATTTTGAAATGCTGAATAAAGTAATTTAGACGTTCATAACAATTAAAAATTATTTTCAATGTAACAAAATAATGAGTAAAATGTAAAAAACTCCATTTTTTTACATTTTCAATGTTACGAAATAATGAGTAAAATGTAACATCTTATTATTAAAAGTTAATAGTATGTACTCAGTATTTCATATCAAGTTGAATGAGGAATATTAGAAAAAAAACTTTAGGTGCATAATAAAGTAATTTAGAGGACGGGAGATTATGAATTCTTTAAAATCGGGTTCAAAACAATTATATTTACTTGTTGGCCAAAAAAACAATTATATTTACTTGAGATGCTTATGTAGAAGATCATATTAAATATTTTAGATAGACTTTTTTCTTTGTTTCACAAATGGAATATATTTTACATATTTTTTTCATCATTCAGGAGATTTCACCTATTCAGCCCATTCAACCACAATTTAATAAATTTCAGCAAAATAAGCTAATTCGACCAATTTTAGTATTATCAAACGGACTCTATATTAGAGTGAGTTTAATTTACTCTTGCATCACATTATATATGACCCCGAAACAAAATAAATTTAAATCTAGCTAAAGTACATACTTCCCGTGCATCGCACGGGCTTGAAAACTAGTTAATTATTATGCTTAAAAGCCACCACACGCTACAACTGTAACACCCAGATTTTTTTTATTAGCTAGTTATTTTTAAAATCAATCATTATTATTATCTTAGTCAGTTAAATAAGTCTCTTCTATGAATAATGTGATAAATTATTTATATCATGTGTTGTTGTGGCAGATAATGTTGACCGATAAGCTCTAATGATTTTAAGTGAAAAAAAACAAAAAGAATAAAGATTGTTCAATCAAATTTTTAAGAAAGATTATATCATTTTTCTAGACACATATATTGACCCGAATCATTTTACTTAGAAGACTAAGAGGTCCAAATTAATTATATTGACCCGAATCAGTTTTTAACTAAAATCCCTAGACACATATATATACTTTTACTCAAACTAGTCTTTCACCCGTGCGTTGCACGGGATAACAAAGTACAAAATTACCCATATAAAAATGTTAATTTTAAAACAATAAAAGTAGATTCTAGGAACGCGATATCTGCAAAAATTTCATCCAACATATATATAATTGATAAAGGTGAGATATTGGGCAAAATTTGATCCCAAAACTATGAAAATGTATAGGAAGGTAATATTTGTAAAAGTTTACATCCAAATAAAAAGTGAGATTTTGAACAACTAAATATAATATAAAATAATGACCATTTTTCACAAGGTTTTTAGCAACTAAATAACCATGTGATTATTAGTCACATACCAACCAAATGATTCAACCAAAGGATTCAAGTGCTTACTAATTCTGAAATGACATTTATAACTTACCTGGATTATGCTAGTGGATACCATGTTAACTTTTGGTAGTAATGTAGTATTATTAAAAAGCCTCATGTTTTCCTTAGATTTGATTTAGGATGTTTTAATTGAACTGAAATTTTCTAGTTTCATCTGAAATCTAATCTGATTTGCTAAATAAATGTTTTGTTTTTTGTGTATTTTAAAACTATCGAACTCTGATCCGGTATGATTTGGTTTGAACTGATTTGGGCTAAAATAATCTAAGTAACAAATCTCCTTATTGGCTAAGAAAAACAATCTTTTGCTAGCATGTATTGCCTTGAATTTGGTGAAGTTGAAAGTATATAAAAAACTTAATAAAGGTTAAACATAACTGGATTCTCTTATGGCTTTGTTTTAAGCATTCTCTCTTGGACTTAAACACTGCACCTTTTCCATAATTAGCAACTACCCGTTCACAAATTGTATCTATTTAGGATCTCTAAAGAGTTTCATTGAAGAAACTCTAACAAATTAAAAGACACAATCTCATCACAATGAATTCACCATACAAACCAAGTGAACACATGAAAGGAACTGGCACGTTATAGAAGGGGAGAAACGGTGAAAGTGTGAAACAACATTAAATGTTTAAGTGTTTGTGATATTTCTTTATCATTAATAGCATTAAAAACTAAGAATTGGGTTTTCTGAATCTTGTATGGATATGAAACTTTCTGTGTGAAGAGTTATGTGTAAAAAGAAATTGAGGTGTGGAGTGAAAGAGAGGGAGGAAGAAAATTTATGACGGGAAAGAAGGGTGAGTAAAGGAAGAACCATTGCTACTGTTTTACCACACTCAAGTTAAAAGACCTTTTCCCCTTCACATAAAACATTGACGCCAAAGCGCTGGTGCAAAAAGATCTAAAAAAAACATATATGGTACACATTACTATTCAAAGTAGTAGACATAATAAAGTGTATACCCAACATATTATAGTAACCAAGAATTAAAAAAACGTAAAACTTAATCACATTTCTGGTAGATCTCGTCATCTCCCTCATATCATCTCCCCTGCAAATGAAGCAAAAAGATCTAGGAAATTAAAAAAAGAAAGTGGGTTTGTCTTCACAATGGTAAAAGTTTCATATCAGGTATGACTTTCACTTCAATTCATCGTTGTAGTAGAAAGTCCAGCTCTTCCCCATCCCACCCAAACACCTATTTACCAAAATGTATGTAAATGTTATCAAAACTGACTCCAGTTGGATAGGATATGTAAACTACTGCAAATGTCAAAAAGAAAAAAGTGCTCATCCAGGGATCCCCTCCTTTTAACCTCACAACAGTGGCCCCACCTTCAACAAAAC